ACTACTAGCACTACTAGTACTAGTACTAGTACTAGTACTAGTACTAGTACTAGCACGAGTACTAGTAGCAGCAGTAGTAGTAGTAGTAGTAGTAGCAGCAGTAATAACAATAAAATAAAAACAAATAATAATAATAATAATAATAGTAGCTGTGCTGGTCGTCGTCGTCGTAGTAGTGGTAGTAGTAGTAGAGAAGTAGTAGTAGTAGTAGTAGTAGTAGTAGTAGAAGTAGTATTCGATGTACGACGTCAGCAAAGTCTACCGAATGCAGCTCAGCGGCGTCGTAGGATCAAAGGCGCTTGGGGCAGCAGCGTAGCAGTCTGACACGAGGCAATCACAGGGACATGATCGAAGGACACCACTTGTAGCAAGAACACAGTAGCAGCTAATTGGAGCAAGAGCAGCAGCAATCAGTTTCAGTAGGGCCCTCGAGTGCGCAGCACTCCATGGGATTTACCATCAGATCGCTCTGCCCATGTCCTCTCCCATGGCCTCAGGAGTACTTGGTGAGTGTGCACGTGACAAGAGCGGGTGATGTTGTGTCCGTTCCTGCACAGCCGAGCTGCCAACACCAAGCCACGAGGGTTTGAGGCCAAGGCTATGCACAACTCATGGGGAGCTCTCTAAATTAGGGTCCTCCGTCTTTAGGTCCCCAATATAGTACAAAAAAAACAATACAGGGACCCTAATTCAGAGAACTACCCTCATGAACAGCAATGATTTGGCAGAACCCTTGTTGCCGCTCCTCCACGGCAGCCTGCACAAAGTTGTGAAACTCGCGGAAACCCACTCGGCCCACCTTTGCGGGTTATGCGGGCGGGATTTGCGGTTTAGGGTTTAGGGTGTTACGCCCCTTTTCTCCTCGCTTTGTGATATTGTCCCACACTTGCAGTTTCATGGATAGTCAAAAGCAATACATCTAAGAACGGCCTGACAGGCGAAGCATGTCGACCAACCTGCTTGGTGTTGAACCTCACTGCTGTAAGTTGCAGGAGCTCAAGTTGGAGAGGCAACCTTACTGTAAAGTACCCATGAACCATAATAGTTATAGTATGGTAATAGTATAGTAATGGAGTAATGAATAATGATAGTAGTAATCGTAATAATAGTAAATGGAGGACGGTTCTTGCCGAACGTTGTGTTCCAGGAAGCCTTTGCACCGAAATCGCTGGAAATGCCAGGTCAACTCTCTCACCTACGACTGTGACGTTTAGGGTTTAGGGGCAAAGGTTTCTTGTGAGTATGGACTTTTTGATTCTGGATGCAGCCACTTTGCAGTGCTAAACATTGCAGCTAAACCGACATGGGTGAAGCCATTGCAATGATTTGCATCTGAGTCCTGAGCTGTGATACGGGCGGCAATAAACCCCTGAATGCTCCGTCAAATTCTGCCGGAGGCATCCGATAAAACGGACCCTCACAGCTTCTTTGCTTGATCGTGAGATCGTGACACCTTGTTGCGAAATGCGAAGGCATTGGACCCCAAAGCCAGGGATCAACTCTCGATTGAACGCCGGGCCAAAGATCCTAAGAGCACCCGACTTACAAGACCCTAGCAGCAGCATAGATCCCAAACTCGGGACTAAAGCCTTAAGCCGTAGAGTTAAGGGCCTGAGTCGAGGTTTACGGATAAACCCTTGACTCTAGTGACGGCAGCCGCTGTCCCAACCTTCGCTTCATCCATAAGGTCGAAGAACCGGACTACCTGGCACAAGATTCGGCTTTTGGTGGAGGTATGTGGAGGCACCAGTTACCAGTAAAGTCTTCGTGGAGTGTGCATGCACGTGTAAATATGCATGATTTCGGGAGTCGTGCTGTTGAGCGCTCCGGTTCCTTCTACTTTCTCGGCTCTTGGGACGCTGAACCTGCCTGGTTTTGGGTTTAGGGTTATAGGGTTCAGGAGGTTTGGGGGTCGCTGGTTCAGGGTTTTAGAGGGTTCGCACCATCACTGCACTCATATAGCATGGCATACATAGATTTGATACAGGTAGATAGATAGATGGCTAGATAGATCCGGTCAGATTCGGAGCTTCGATGTCGCAGTCCGCAGAAACAAAACTTCATAAACCCAAAACAAAACTCTTTCAATTCCTAATATCGATCGACCCCAAAGACACGGCTAGACCCTAGAGGACCAAAACACCTACACGCACAACCCATTGCAGCCTAGACCATTTAGCCCACTAAACACGAGATTCACTCTACAAGCTACACTCTGAACCCACATCCCAGAAAGCCTTCAGCCCACGACTCGGCCAGAAGCGAGTGTAGGTCTCCAGACTTCATAGTTACGTGCTCTTTGGGCAAGTGAACTACGAAAACTACGAAGGACGTACTCTTCAGTGGCGCCAAGACTTCGTGCACTCCGAACTTTAGATGATTGTTGAAAGGAACCCCAACAGAACCTAAAGGATTCAGACCCGGCTTAAGTGTTGAATACTCTGTCCTGCCTAACAAGCCAGAAATACCCTAGAGATATCCTGCGAAGGCCATCAGACAAGGCCCCCATCGGAACTATACCAGAGTCTCTGCACTGCAGGGCTCCTCGAGAAATTGAACTCCCCCAGCGGCCTCAAGAGAGGATTCTACTTAGACTTCAGTGCGCACACACACTCAGTTCAGCGAGACGACATTCCACATTTCGAAAATCGTCGCGTGAAACTCTTCAAATTCTCACTCTCTGCACTCACTACATTGTACATGCCGTCGGCAAGCTCAAGGCTCTTCCATGAAGTGAGAAGGCTTGCCTTGCACCTCTTGAGTTCTACGGAAAGCCGCCGCATCACCGCTGTCATCTAATGTCCAGAAGCGCATCGAGTTGTAGAACGCAGATCTGATTCCGAGATCTTGGAGGTACCAGTACTCTCCTCGAGTTTTGGGAAAGCGTCGCAACACATGGCTGGGTCTGACCAAGACTTCGTAGGCTGTGAGGTTCACCATCATGTTGGCAGTGGTCCTGACCACCAGCATTCCGACGAAGCAAACCCAAACTGCGTCAAACGCAGCCGTAATCAGAACCACAAATGCTTGCAACTCTGCTCCCAGGGATCCACTTGTCAGGGATTCCAAAAGCTCAGCGAAGGAGCCTCGAGAGATTTCTGGAAAAACCGTGTCGAAAGCATAAAGAAAGACTGTGTAGTAGAAGTAGAGGAGGGCGGAAAGAAGCGCGGTGATGAACAGGAAGAATGATCTTTGGTTGCCCAAACCTACGCTGTTGTCTATCCAAGGGCAGTAATGGTCCATTCGCTCGACGCATCGACCTTGCTCTTTGCAATGGTGGGAGCGAAATGTGCGCACCGTGCGGCAGATGATGCAGACCTTCTTGAAGTTGCCCTTCTCCACCAAGGTCAGATACTCGCCAGATCCTTGTGAAAGCAAGTGCTCCACTCTTGCGCGGCCTAGATTCTCTACTGCAGCACGTTCACGCTCCTGTAGGGCTACCGTTGCTCGCTCCAACTGGGCCTGCCTGGACCCGCTGTCATTGAAACTTGAGGCGATCAAGGGCTGCGATTCGCCCAAGGCTGGGCTTCGAGGATCGCCGAGGCCACAGCCTTCTTTGAATCGCTTCCGTGCTTCAAGCAGGAGATGCCTCTGATAGTTGTACTTGTTCTGCTCTAGCTCCAGCTTCGTGACCTGCGGGACCTCGCCGTCGCATGTCCAGGTCAGCTGCTGAAGAACGCTGTCGCAGCGAGCCATCTGCGACTCGATCGGCTGATCAACATCAAATGCTCCTGCTGGGTCTTTGCCCAGCAGGTGTTTCTGTGAGTTTATGGTGGGTGGCTGAAGCCAGCCGGGATCCGAGAAGAGGCATAGCACCCAGAGCAGCAGCGACAAACCCATTAGCATCGACCAAATCAGGACGGCTTCTGGATTTCTAGCAGCAATTCCCGGTGCTATGACAAAGGCAAAAATGATGATGTTGTAAACAACGCAACAGAGGAAGAGACCTGCGTAGTTCGTCTGGAAAAGGTATGGCCGGCCAAACAGAAAGTTGAAGACCTGGCACTTGTGGAAGTCAAGCACCAGGTGCCTCTTCCCTTTATGCATGGCGAGTTCAATCGGGGTTTCACCAGCGCTATCTGGGACGTCTAAGAGGTGCACAGCCCCCACTTCCATGAGCATTTCTGCGACCAGCGTGTGCCCTTGCAGGGCTGCGTGGTGAAGTGCAGTCATGCCTTCTCGGTCTCGGTGAGCAATACTGGCAGATCGCGAGAGCAACCACTGGACTGTCTTCTTGTTCCCCCTGTGGCAAGCCCATAGCAGGGCAGTTCTGCCGCAGTCATCCTGCTCTTCCAAGCTGACACCTTTGAGGTACAGCCACTCCATCACGGGGCTGTTGTCGGACTGTGCGGACAACAGGAAGGCAGTGAAGCCATCATAGTCGCGGATCGAGAGGAGAGCACGGTTGGCCCTGGTAATCACGTCCAAAGCTATGACATTGGAAGAGTTCGCGGCCCAGTGTATTGCACATTCTCCGGAATTATTGGGAATGTCAGGTCGCGCCCCTCTTTCCAGTAACGGGGTAAGGAGTGAGTCTAGCCTGAACCATACAGCATAGTGGAGAGCTGTGTTGCCGTCCGAGTCCTGATCCTCTGCTCTGTATCCTTGGGACAGCATCTCGACGACCGCCTGAGGGTTCTGTTGCGCGGCAGCCTCTGCAACGGATGCATACCTGTGAGTTTCAGAAAATCGGGGACCCCACTATAGAACCCTAACTCAGCTGAATATCAATGGTGTAATCGGAATCTTATCATGAGGACCCCAATTGAGGTACCTTGTTTTCCGAAGCTCCCACCTGCTGCCACTGCAGGGCATAACATTCGGCGCATGGGTCTTCATGCTCAAAGGCAGCCGACAACGAAGAGTCGCGGAGCTCCCGCTTATGGTTTTTGGCTTATGCTAAGTTGCAGTACTACGGCTTATTGACTTAATGCTTGGCAAACTTCGGGTTGAACCAGTTTCGAGCTCTGAGATTTTGAGCTCCGAGTCCTGAGGTGCACACAAGCAGCATCACAAACACCCAAACAGTCCGGCTAGACCCTTGTTAATATTATTGTTATTATGCACATATATATATACATATATATATATATATATAAATATATATATATATATATATATGCAAGGCACTAAACCCGAAAGTCGACAATAATTCTGCTCGGACAGCCTGGTCGGCGGAGATTCCTCGTAGCCCGAGGTGATACAGCGCAGCCCAAGTCTCCACCATGTCCTCCACACAAGTTTAGGGCACCTTTAGTGTTCAGGCTTTAGGAGTTAAGGGTTCAGGGTTCAGGGATTGAAATCTCGCTTTAAGCGAATATTGATCTCCAGAACAATAGCCCAGAATCCTCCTTCTACAAACCTTTGGCAGCAGCTTTCTGAGGGCCCGACCAGCGAGCCGTTCTTATCCGTGTCGAAGATGTCCTTGGTCCATTCTGTTTGATCTGTTGGGCCATGTAGGGTCGTTTTAACTTAAGAGGAACCGATCAGAGTCAAAGACTTGCCCTAGTTGAGAACCATGAAACACAACGTGACCGAACCCAACATCAGACACGATGAGGCAAGTCGGGGCAGTTGCACTGTGTAGAACAAGGAACCCCCCCACAAAATACGCTTAGCAATTACTTAGGCCCGGGGAAGATCCAACACCCTAAACCCTAAGCCCTAAACCCTAGTCTGTGGCGGGACAGGCTATTCCGCTGCGTGCCCTCTAGCTTTGGCTCTAAGGACCCGGCAAAGGCCGCACGAATGCTCAAATTCTTGCCTGGAGCAGTGGTTCTTTAGGGTTTACAGGATTTATTGGGTTTAGGGCTTTGGTTTGGGGTTGAGGGTTTAGGAGTTCCAGCAGCATCCAGAAAGGATTGGAGCCGACCCTAGGCTACAAGCAGCGAAATGTAGGGGCCTCAATAATTAGAATAGGGTTTTGGCGCCCAGGATAATATATTTATATTATAAGGAGCCCCCAACATACTATAGGTAATTATTTATGGCCCCTATACTAAGCATCCTCCCATCCTTTGTAAGTGCGAGGCCGCTCAGAGCCTCCCGTAACGTCACGCTGAGACTGGCTTCCTGAAGGGACAGCAACCAAGGTTGGCCCTTTAAAGCCTCTGAAAAATATTGGTAAATAAGATTAAGATACTTTAAAAAAGCCCAAGAAGAAAAATATGAAATATCCCGACGGCCTACCTAGAACAGCAAGAAATCAACAGCGTGGGTAGGCAAGGTGGCGCAGGCCAAGCTGCTTCGCGGTGCTCTAAACTCCACACCCATCAAAGAGATTCAAATCCCCTAAACCCTA